GCTGCCTGTCAAAATCCGCCTGATCGCTTTAGTTAATGATATGCATACTGAAGTCTGAGTGTCCCCATGCCTGTGACCACCACAGCGACATGGAACGCAACAGCAACAGTAAAATGAGACAGCTTGGCAGACGGGTAGAGGAATAGAAGGACGTGTCCTAGTGAGTATAGACAAAGTGAATGGTAGGATCCATGATGTGGGTCTGTAGTGTGCACTGTGGAATTCTTTCTGTAAAGAAACTTACGTTATGTCTGAAATTTTTCATAATAAAATGTTGGAGAAAATGCCATCAGTCCTTCAGGGCCTAGGTTATGTTCAGGACTTTGGGGAAGAAGACTTTCTAGACTTTCTCAGTTACTTGTGGCCAGTAACGTGTGCGTGTTATCAGGTCCTCTTTCATGGCATTCGTCGTGGTGGGACCTGGAGAGCTGGTTTGCTCTTTCACCTCTGTGTTGGGCAGTGACCTCCCTGTGGACAAGCAGGTATCTTCTCTTTATATCCCTGATGCACCAGGCAGGCATCATGTAAGGGATAAAGGACATGGTCCCCACTTGACAGTAGAATTAGTTTGGAATGTCATATCTAACTTTGCAGTTACCTTTGCTGAAAGTCACGTTTGTAATGTAAAGTTGACTGGATCAAGCCCCACTCTCTATGTGCGTGTTTTATTTTGTAAAGATTTTACTTATTTATTTTAGAGAGCGTGAGAGCATGAGCAGGGGAGGGGCAGAGGAAGAGCGAGAGTGAGTCCCAAGCTGACTCCATGCTGAGCACAAAAGCCAGATGCAGGGCTCAGTTCTCAGGATCCTGAGATCACAACCTGAGCTGAAACCAAGAGTCGGATGCAGAACGACTGAGCCACCCTGGCGCCTCTGTGTGTGTGTTTTAGAAGGGAGAGTACAGGAATTAGGGTTAATACTTCTAATACCCAACACTCTATAAAAAAGTCATGCCTATAAGAAAAGACAATGCTGTGCGGAGCCAAGGCTGCCAGTTGAGTTACGTCAGTGATAACTGGTGCCCTGAGCTCCCAGTCCTTGGTAAAGGACTTCTGCACCATAGGACCACAGTTCAATTCCAGGGCTCTGGACCATGTGGATTCACCCCATATGGGAAGCCGTGCTATAGAAATGCACAGAAATTGGACTCAGAATGTTCTATCAAGGTCACTGACAAAAATCCATTCAGAACCTAGTTGATTTCCCCAAAATATGTACAAACCCCAAGTGCCAAGAAGATAGTCCTAAATCATTTGGAATGCCATACTTGTTTCCATAATGGGTAGGCATATTTTAATTCTGGGAAGATTTAGAATTGAAAATAGAAGTTTTTAATTGAAGCAAAGTCATAGTGTTAATATTGGACTTAGAGGATCTAGACATATTTGATGTTTCAAGTAATTATTTAAAATAATTTGGCCCATGCAACAGGTTAGCCTGTTTTTCCAAATTAAAATGGGAAATCAAGTAGCTGATTTAGACTTGATTTTGGGGAAGGTTGAAGTCTTACTAGATTCATAAGCAGTATTAGAGTGTTTAAGATAATTTATTAGGTTTCTAAGAGTTGTTTAAGGAAAGGTTTTAGAAGTTAGGTCAAACAATTCTAATAATTAAAAGAATTAAATGTATTCTAAATTAAATATGTAATTTTAAATGTTTAAAGGAGTTTAATGGCTTTGTAAGATGGACCAAACCATTATTTGAATGGCCCTTTGATAGGATTATAGAGGCACCTGGGTGGCTCGGTCTGACTCTTGATTTCCGCTCAGTGTCCTGAAATCGAGCCCCATATCTGACTCCCCGCTCAGTGTGGAGTCTGCTTGAGATTCACTCTCTCCCTCTGCCCCCCACCCCCCGGCAATGCTCACACACACATTCTCTTTCTCTTTCTCTCTCTCTCTCTCTCTCTCTCTCTCTCAAACAAATAAATAAATAAATCTTAGGGGAAAAAACAAAAAAGAAAGTGATTATAAAAGTTATAGAAGTCATGCTTAAAACCTAAGGATGAGTTAGGGTGTTTAAACTTGTTTTTTTAAGTAAATGAATAAAATACACATTTTTAAAACCTGGTAAGCCCAAATAGCATTTCTGTACATGAAGCCGCCCTCACGGTGATTAGAAAATTCATGTGAACTAAAGTGATGAACAAACACTTGTTCAATCAGGTAGATGCTGAGAGTTAGTTGAGTTTGAATTTAAAATGCGAATCAGCGGATTTCTGTACTGAGGCGAGAAACACGGAAACCCCAAGTTAATTACCCTTCGTGGTTTCAGATGTGATATGGAAGAAGGAACAGGGTCTTGAAAGGTTAAGAATGGGGAAAGAGAGTCACGACAAGTTTCAGTGAAATGGTGGCTGTGATCTCGTGCTCAGCACGTGACAGGTGCCGGGTGAGGGCATGCTGTAGTTGTAGTAATTTTTGGAAGTGCTTTAATTAGAGTTTTCCTTGACACTAACCCCAAGGGGTGTCATATGCATAGACCCCAGGGTGTGCGCAGTCCCATGTGGCTGTCCTGGGTGTTGATCTCACCATTCATTCAGGTGGAGTTGTACTAAGCAATCAGTTACAGTTATGTGTCACACACATCACACAACCTTGTCTTCTTATCACGGAGAAAGAGTAGGGGGGCAGGGGACGTTTTTGCCATCTGGATAAGGTTCAAATGAAATTGCACGTAATGCAGAACCCTGGATTTATTTCGTGCTGGCCACTCAGACAGCCCTGAACAGGACGCACAGGGAGGCCCTGAGCTGGAGGGTGCTTGGCTAGTCTGCAGACGTTGTCGTTCAGGTCTGGCTTCTGGTAATTAGGTACTCCTGGCTGGGCTCGGCTGTCGGTGAGCCTTTGAGACAAATTGCAAAATCTGTACAACCATCTGAGAGATGGAGAAGTAGACCCCAATGACACTAGAGGGGATATTGGTAGTTCTCAGAAGTTTGAGAGAGAATGCTTGGAGAAGCAGTTCTTTAACCTGAATTTAGAGGTCCTTTTCCTGTGGTGAAAGGGTAAGTTCAGACAAGCATCAGGATCCGAGAGGATCCTGACAGGCTGCAATGATAGGCTTAATCTAACAGGATGAAATGCAGTGGAAATAAGTGTAAAGTTCTGTATTTGGATCAGAAAAATCCCAGCTCTGCATGAAAATACTGGGCACAGAGGTAGGGATCTATCAGAGGAGTAGTCTATATGAAAAAGACGTCTAGGAGTTCAAATGATACAAATTTGACAGTTGATTATGGTTCCCCAAAATCAAATGCAGCGTTACGTCACATTAACAGAGGTAGAGTATTTAGGATGAGGGAGGTGATAGACTTCTGCTATGGACTTGTCATAGGAGGAACACCACTGTAGTTCTGGGCTCTGAGAGGCTATGAGAAGAAACTAGACAAAGGATGGTCCCCTGGATGGATACGGTAGTGTTCCAAAGCTGTCACAGGTAACAGGAACAGAGGAGGTTTGGCCTGAGTACCACTCCAGGAAGACCTGAAAGCTGTCATTAATATCTGAAAGTCAGTCATGTGCAGAGCCTTGTTCTTGTTAAGAGGAACAAGGAGAGGGGCACCTGGGTTGCTCAGTCGGTTTAGCATCTGCCTTCAGCTCAGGTCATGATCCCAGGCTCCTGGGATAGAGCCCTGCATCGGGCTCCCCATTCAGCCGGAAGCCTGCTTTTCCCTCTTCCACTCCCCCTGCTTGTGTTCCCACCCTCGCGCTCTCTCTAATAATTAAATAAAATCTTTAAAAAAAGAAAGAATCTGGGGGATGAAAGTTATAAGAAGAAGCCCCAAATAAGAAGCATCCTTTTTTTTCCCCTTAAAAATGTTTTAAGGTAAAATGAACTGCTTCCATAATTCTAGAAGTGCTTGATTAGGCTTCTAAGATTGAGGCTTCTACTAGTGGGAGTGGATGACCTGGAGGCACTTCCCAGCCCCAGGATTCCATGATTCTTCTGCCTTCCCGTTGTGATCCTGTCCTTCGTGGTCCTACCACGGGCAGGCCGGCAGAGCCTTGATGACGGGAACCATCTAGGCAGTGCTGAGGGAGTCTTTAGAATCATCAGGTGAAATTTCCATACTCTTGGGTCAGTCATCAGTAATGCCACTAGTTCTGCCAGGGGAGATCGGGGTGGGGGGGTGGTCCTTCCCTTTGACCAGAAGCTGTGTTATTTCCTCATTTGCTCTTTCTGAGTGCCCAGCAGTGTGCTGGGTGCTGGGGAGGCTTCGGGGCAGAAACAAAGCTCTTGCCATCTTCAGGTATCAGCTTTGTCTGGGACGTAGGAGAGCACAGACAAACCCTACAGTGAGCCCCAAAGCTCATGTAGTATCAGTCGTACCCATCCCCACTTAGCTCTGGGGCTTTTTCCCATCACATTGTATAGTTCTTCAAAGTCAGGTGATTTGTTTGTCCTGGCCGGGTAGGGTCATATTGTTTCCCCTACAGGTTATGAAGTTTTGAGGAGGTTAAGTCATTTTTTTTCTTTTTCTCTTTCATGAACATGACCTTGTGTATAGTTAGTTACTAGCACAGTGACAACCTGTGGGGAGTGTCTCCTTTCATGGTAGGAGCAGTTCATTCCCCAGTGGTTCTACTGGCTCTAACGGGAGATAACTAGAAGGCTGGGTGAGGAGGAGCGGGCATGAAAACTTAGGATGGAAACGGGTTTGTGGCCCCCCCACCAGTTGCTCGTACAAGTTGAGCACCCCTTTAGGTACGAGCCTGTAAAGAAACCAAGAGACACATTTCTATCCTCAGTTGTTAATCCTAGTTCATCATTAAATGCCCTTCATGCTAAATTTCCCTTGGTAAGTATTGTTGCAAACAATTGTACTGTTTTCTTTTTCTAGCATTAATAGGTGTGCAGCTCCCGCTTAAGGAGTCCTGATTCTAAATTCTTTTTTTGCTTTCAGAGGCTGTTTTTTGGTTTCATTTTTGTGGGTTTTTTTTTTGTTTTGTTTTGTTTTTTAAGGTAACCCATCTTATTGTAAATTCTTCTTTCTTTCAGGTAGGAATGAATTGATAGCCAGATACATCAAACTCAGGACAGGCAAAACGAGGACCAGGAAACAGGTAAACTAACCAGCCTGGACACTGTGCATGTCAGCGAATGGCCCCAACGAGGCATTTTGGCTGCAGTGGCTGTCTGTGCTTTGGCTCCTAGGAGCCCCCAGTTGGAGTCCCCTATAAGGACGTCAGTGTTGTAGGTGTTTTCCATTGGCTCAGTTTTCACTGTTCATCATTTCAGTGACCCCTCACTGTGTGGTCTCACAACCTGGGAAAGCGTCTCCTCCAAGGACAGTGTAGACACTGCTCCTTTACTATATTTTAATACCTCCAGTTCTTTCCCGAACTGCGCATCTGTAAACACCGCGACAGCTGCGGGCGCGACTGTATGTTCGGAGGTCGTGAAACTTGGAGACTTTGCGCATTGTAAAATCCTGGAACCATTACCCGTGAGTCAACATTTCGATGGGACAGTAACCCCAGCAGCCGTGAGTCCTGGCCTAAACATAATACTGAACGGTGCGCGCCCAGGGACCGGTTGCTTCTTATGCTTATGGCCTTTGGTCAGTAGCTGCTGTGATGGAAATGAAGTTACAACTTAAAAAACCTTTGGGCAGAGCAGTGTCAGGAATTTTGCTCTGCCCTTTGTCAGGGCTCTGGCTCTCCTTGTTCCTTCTGATGGAAAGCAGCCCAGACCCCCCGACCCAGTTCAGAACTGAAATGGACGAGAAATTCGGGTTTAACGAAAAATAGAAAAAGGAAGGAAGAGGGGCCGGGGTGGGTGGAATCAGACCAGCCTCACGGGTGAGTTATTAACAGAACAAAATTATTTTTGGACGTTGACCTATGCGGCTCTGTCTGGCATGGATTTTTTTAAAAAAGATCATCGTATCAAAAGGCGAGCTCAGCTGTGGTCTCGCTAAGCGTGAGCAGCAGATTCTAGTTCTCTGCTCCATGATGAATTGTTTTCACGAGTGTTTACAGCGGGGAGAGCTTTTCCCCAGGAATGCTTCCATGTGCCCCCGCCAGGAGCCTGGCTGCTGAGTCAGCACAGAGGGCTGTGGCCTCCTGCCAGTGCACAGAGGCAGGGGCATTGTCTGTTCAGTGGATGTCCCCCGTCCCCCACCCCCCCGCCCCAGCAGTGGACAGAGGCCCTCAGCAAGTCAGAGAATCACGTGAGAACAGAACTCGGAAGAGAACAAGTGAAAGCAGGAGCCAGTGAAAGCAGGAGCCGGATGGAGGGGTGAAGAGGATGGGGGAGTTCCTGCTTCTCTGTACTTAAAAAAAACAAAAAACAAACAAAAAAACAAATTGGAAAAAAAAAATCATTGAAACTGAAAGATAAAAGGATCTTTTATTACCCTAAATCCTGATTTTAGAGTCAGCAGAGTATTTGAAATAAAATAACCACCTTTCTCAGTCTGAGTCGCTGAACTTTTAAATGGAAGTTTCTGAATTTCTGAAACAGACAGATCTAATTCCCAACACGCTGAAAGCCTTGGACCTGAGCTGTCTGCTGGTCTAGGAGCTCTGGTCATGTGCCCAAGCCCTTCACTGGGGGACTCTTCTAAATTTAACCAAGTCCCACTGAAAGAGATGCAAATTTGTTTACCCAGTGGAATGGTCGTGTTTCAGAAGCTGGGCTTGGCTGGCTTTCCACACCCGGCGTCCTGGGGATGTTTTTAGGCAGCCGTGGGTGATACCTCTCCAATGTGAATTTGTTGTTCAGCAAATCGTGTGGTTTTCCACCCAGATTTTTAACAGGATGGCTGGCTGGCTGTATTCACACTTTTTGCTTTGTAATAATATGCAAATCCACTTGGCGCCCAGTCAATATCCAGAAGAGTGGAAGGATTAAAGATATTTATAAGGGCAAAAAAAAAAAAAATTGCTCTGCTAACTGGGTCTTTCCATTTCTCTTTGAGATCTAATTTACATGTCAGTATTATTTTAACATTTGCTACAGAATCCAGAGCTCTTAATGAGATCAGAATATAACAGACAGCTTCAGCTTTTTTGATTCTGCAGAATGTGCTAATTTATGGATAGTCTCTTCTAAATTGAGAAGGGATTTTCCCTCCTGATACTGAGAAGCTATAAATATTTTCATTTGCCTCTAGCCCCACCTTTTAAATTTCATAAAGAAAACAACTCCACTCTCCCCCTCTCATCCTGTGCCCGTGATTTCTCCCTGGTGAGAAAACTAAGAGCAGCCTAACTTTCATCCTGAATCAAGTCACTGCAGTGATGACCCAGTCTGAAAAGCTTAGAACAGCGCTGGGGGCTTGGTGTCTGGCTGGGACTGTGTATTCCTAACTGCAGAGCTTTGTTGAGATGCAAATAACCTCCCCCCTCAACCCCCCACCCCAGAACCCTCCCAAGGAGTAGCGATTTTATATTTGATTTCCTTTTTTTGTTTTGTTTTGTTTTGTTTTGTTTCCCCTCATAAACCCGAACAATGTAGGTGTCTAGTCATATACAGGTCTTAGCAAGAAAGAAAGTTCGAGAAATTCAAGCCGCCATTAAGGTACGTCTGGCTTGCCCAGTTGTAGGGGGCTTTTCATCTCCATGGTTACAGGCTTTTCCTTTGTTTTCCTCCCTTCCCCTACCCTGCAGGTGTCTAGTCACATTCAGGTTCTTGCCAGAAGGAAATCTCGTGATTTTCATTCCAAGCTAAAGGTATGCGCTTTCCTGCTTTTTGGCTTGTGGTTGCTATGCATCTCACTTCCTGTTTTCCATGGTGACTGGTGAATGCCTGGTGCTGGGATTCTCGTAACCTAGTTTCCTCGCATGTGAGAGCTGTTTACATTTCTTTGTGTCTAATCTCTCTTTCTGTACTAGCCTCACATTAAGCTCAGTGTGTGTGTGTGTGTGTGTGTGTGTGTGTCCCTAATAACAATGCAAATGCAGCAGAGAGCTGGTCTTGATAACTTTTCAGCACAGAAACATGATTTTTTTTTTAACCTTCAAATGTCCACCAAACAGCCCTGGGCTATGAGAGGGGGGGAGAAAAGGTCCAGAGACACCAAGTTATTGTAGAAATAGCAAATAAATAAAATAAGAATCAACTTCCAGAGTAGTTACCATGAAATTACTTTAAAAGAATAGTTAGAAGTTATTTTACGCTCTTAATGTATTTTAAAGAATACTTATGAAAGACACGTCTTTTTCATGTAATTTTTCATGTGTTCTTTCAACACAGGATTTTCTGCCAGATTTCTTCCATATTGCTCAATACTGTTTTTTAAGTGTAAGGCTCTGTTACTTAAAAAAAAAAATAAATTGAGGTGAGGCCTTAAAAAAAAGATCTTAGAGATGGGAAAGCTCTTAATGAAATCCATGTTTGCAATTCCATTTATACGTGAATTTAATTGTTCTTTACGTGTGTCTGATTTTCCAGTCTCTGAAAATATATTTTGCCGGAATAAACAGAGGCAATGAGAGTTTTTAAATGCAAGTTCTCCTTATTTTCTCCCCTTCCAAGATTTACAGTAAAACATAAATGACTTTTTTTTTCCCATAATGCCCTATTTTAGAAATATGGAGGGATTATAGTTTGCACAGAAGTGCTTTACTTTCTAATAAAAATGAGTTTGTAGCCCATATCATTTCCTTTCCCACTTACCTTTCTCGTGGTGGTTCTGTTCTGATTTTCCCCATACATTAATTAAATTTGTTTTTGTACTAAACCTAAAGAACAAAGTGTGATTTCACAGCACCGAACGGTCGACAGTGGGATCCTTCCCAAAGTCCTCCCCAATTTTTTTTTTCTTTTATGCAAACAAGGCTGGCTGTGGAACAGCACTAGTGACCAGGAAGGAGCATTTGGTGGCCCTCTGCAGTGGGCAGCATGCTCGCTCGCTCGCACGTGTGGCTGATGGTGGCTGGCTTTTAGCTGCACTGGCTGAGCAGTTAGTTGGAAGACTAAGATAACCTCATAGATCCTGCTTTTTAACCAAGGGTGCCGTCCTCTCTATGTGGATGCAACTACCCCAGTGTTTGCTCAAGTTCTGACTCTGTTTCTGGTTTCTCTGCGCTAACGAATTAATGATGTACAAAAGAAGTTGACAGACATCGATTTTGTGTTCCCATCTGCAATGTTATGAATTGCTCTATTTCTCTACCATCCGCGTGGTTCCTGCTGCCCCTACCCCTAACCCCCCGCCCCGGGCCCACTGCCCTGGACCAGAAGCCCTGTACATGACAAACAAAGCTCTCCTGTCCAGAAGGGAATCCCCATGGGATGCGGGAAGGGCACTTTTTCTCATTTGGGAACCTGAAGAGTCTTCCTCGGTGGAAACAGTTTACCGTTACTTTATACATTCGTGTACCCCCAAACACACGGCTATATCTATGTTCTTCCAAAATAAGAGAAGGTGACTCTCCCCTTCCTTTCAGCCCTGGCCCAGTCTGCTTGGGGGCAGACCCAAGGAGGAGGCAGAAACAGGGGTGGTCGGGTGGCAACCAGCTCTGCCTTTCAGCTCTGAGCGCCACCTGCATCTTCTTGCATTTACTTGCCTTCCTCCCTGCCACATTATTCTTGGAAGAAGGGAGGCCTTTGTTCTTCCCGTCAGCTAATACTAGTTGAGCGTTCTGGGCATGGCGTTCATCATGGTGGGCATTGAACAGTCAACCCCCTATTCACAGAGCTGGCCGTGGAAATGGGAATTGGAAGTACAGGGCACTGTGGGATGGTAAGTGTTAGCAGACAGAGCCAAGAACAAACGTGGAGGGAATCCTAGGGACGTGCCGCGTGGTGATGGGAATGCAAAGACAGGAGTCAAGTGTGCTGAGGGTCTCTTGGACGGTCTCTCCACTGAGCTCGCTGCCAAGGCAGTTCCATTATTGAGAGTTTAAGGAGTAACACTGAGGAAACCAGGGCTCCAGGAGTTTAATTGATGTGCCCGGAGCTCCCCAAGCCTAGCACACATCACTGTCAGGATTTGAACTCAGATCTTTCTGAATCATAAGCCACTGCTCTCTCAGGCGGGGCTGTGTCCAGTGGAGGTGGGAGACGGTTTTTAAGCAGAAGGCCTTGTGCCTGCACAGCCCTGTGTCACCCCTCGTGTCCCTTGGAGCTGGGCATGTAGCTCTTGCTACTGACCTTTTCCTCGGTGCCCACCTTTTAGAAGCAAGGTGAATTTTTAACTTAGAGCCCTTGGTCCAGGTGTGGGCTTCGTGTGTGCCTGACCCTGTGGCAGTCACCCGTAACTCAGGGCAGTGAGGTCCTAGCCACAGAGCTGCTGTGTCACCAATCAGAGGACGTTAGGACAGTCCAGGAGCATGGGACCAGCTGTCGCCTGTGTGCAGAGAGGGTGCCGCCTTCACTGCCCATGGGTGTTTGATGTTAGAGACACCTTCCCTAACCTTCCTGACCAGCTGTACCCGGGAGGTGGTCTTGTAGGAGAGGTTGATGGCGCACATTTCTCTGTGCTCCCTCATTCAGCTCTGGAGTCTAACAGCGCATCTGTGGGAGGCAGGGCTGAGTCTCCCGGTTGAGTTCGTTGTGGGGTCAGGCTGATAGCCATGTCATCCTGGCCTCCCACACGAACTAACGAGATAAAGTTGCCACAGAAGGTGGAAGTCATCCCAGCAGGCGATGAGAGTAGCTTCTGGGTGGGCGGTGGAGGGGGGCAGGAAGTATCGAGATTTAACAGAGATGTGGTTTGCCTGAGAAGATGTGGCAAGGCCTCCTGGAGGGAAGGTGGCCGCTGACTGGCCACTTCAGGACCTGTCCCTGCCTGCCAGCCTCAGCCTGCCACTGGTCACTTGACCGTATGCTTCCAAGTCAAGGATTTCTATTCTCTGGTGGTGGATGGAGGCCTGTAGCCCTCCTTTGAAAAATGAAGCCAAGCTTCATCTCTTGGTCCTCCTTTGGAGTTGGAAAAAGGTGGTTTGCTCAGAGCTAGGACTGCTGCCAAGTGTGGCCTCCACATGAGCCCAAATGCCTAGGAACCCCCCCTGCCCCGTCCATTCCCGGGGAAGGGTGTGCTAGAGTCCTTGAGGCTAGTCACTTTCCAGCCTTTTTTAAGCCACAAACTCATACTTCAGACTGAAATCTTAGTCAAAACATTTAATATATAAATGAGTAAACACTATTCTTTTTTTTTTTTTTTTTAAGATTTATTTATTTGATAGAGCAGGAGCTGGAAGGCCTGAGGGAGAGAGAGAGGAAATCAGAAGTGAACTCCAAGTAGAATTTGGAGCCTGGCACAGGGCTTGATCTCACAACCCTGAGATAGGACCTGAGCCGAAACCAAGAGTCAGACACCTAACAGACTGTGCTACCCAGGCACCCCCAAATGAGTAAATGCTGTTTTGATTGAAGCTCATGCTCTTTTATCTTTAGCAATGGCCTCTTTGGCTGTTCCACTGAATAAGGTTTGAAAACCACCCTGCTTGAGGCAAAGGGACAAGGAGGTGACTTCCTCTCAGCTGTTCCTGCAGCCTCTACAGGACAGCGTGTGCCCTGCAGCAAGCTCTACCATATTCCTCTGAAGAAAACACACTCACGGAGAGAGTGGTCATTCCCGTGTCACAGTCCAGCCCTTGAAAATCTATTTAAAATAAGTTGCAAAGGTCAGCTTTAGGCTTCTGCTAATTGCAGAAGCGGTTCTCAGAGTGCTTGTTTGTGAGCCAGATTTGCCCCCAAATGTGTGGGCTTTAATTTTAACTTTTTTTAAAAAAGATTTTATTTATTTATTTGAGATAGAGCGCAGAGGGAGAGGGAGAAACAGACCCCCTATTGAGCAGAGAGCCCGACGTGGGACTTGATCCCAGGACTGTGGGATCATAACTGAGCTGAAGGCAGATGCTTAACCGACTGTACCACCCAGGCGCCCCTAATTTTAATTTTTATAACAAACTTTGTTTTGGGGGGAAGTTTAAGATTTCCACAAAGATTCAAGCTTTATAAAGCACAAAAATGATTAATTCACTCCAGCAAACTTCTCGAGAATCCAGTGTGTTCTAGACCCTTGAGCAGATATTGGGCTTAGAGAGTCAAATATGCAGAGTGTCTGTTCTTGAGGACCACTAAGCTTTTCTGTTGCTTTTGGCCACATTTGGGAGAAATACGAGGCTTCCAGTAGATTGTCCCACAGCTGGGGGACTGCAGTGGAAAAGAGTGGGTGATTCTGAGTGTGGGAGAAGTAAGGGAAGCCTCATTGGAGGGGGTGCCATAACTGGGCATTCAGGAAGACAGTTCCCCCGAGATATGGGGGTGTTTGGGGAATCACCAAGAACACCATTACTTGGAGGCATGGGATGGGAACGAGACTGGAGGAACTTAACAGGAAGGTCCTGGGTCATCTATGGGAGGGTGAGAGTCACCTCCCGGCCTTGGGGGGCGTGTAGGAAGCACTCAGACTTAAGCTTTGGAAAGCTCTCTCCCACTGTTTTCAGAGGGATGGCCAAGAGGGAGGCAGAGCTGGAGGCAGGGAGCCTAATTCAGGGGGTGGTGTCGTCTGAGAGAGCAGTGAGGGCCTAGACAGGGCAGCCACACGCCCCCCCCACCCCCCGCCTTCCCGGGGCCCAGCTCAGTGGCTCACATTAGCGCTTCCCCCCTCCACGGCTGGTTCCCACACCAGTGCGCTGGGGCTGCTGTGAACTTTTCCTTCCTCAGTGTTTTTGAAGAATAGATTATGTTTCAAACTCCTGTCCTTACTGAGTCTGAAACG